ACAAATGTGCGGATTTTATGTCATAACAAGTTTAACCCTTTGTGTCCACCTTCACACCAGTGCTATTTTAGTATCATTAATGTACTTTTATAGCTTTTGTTAATACAGGGTCTCTGCAGGGTTTAGGAAGCTAAATCTGAGACTTTTTAAGATCTTTCTGAGACCAAGTAAAGAAAATGTAAGGAATAAATTGAAGACAATTAGACAAAATGTCTAGGAAGCACACAAGTTCTATCAGCAACACTTCAAATTTTGAAAATACATCTTCCAAGAGATATTTATTACTTGTTTGGAAATAACCTTTACTGTACCTTCTGATCGCATTGCAAAAAGTGCTGTCTTTCCCCAGTGTTTTTGTCTTACTTTCCAGTGCTAATGTCTAAATAGTCTTAAATCAAGATCATTTTACTTCAGAAGACAAACAAGTTCTGTTGTTTATGATTAAAACAAACATCTGCTTGTGGGGTCAGAAAAATCAACTCGATTCAAAGGAAAAACAAGTTTTCTTACCCCATTGACATATAAGCATAAACTACGGAGCCCCGCACATGACATGCAAGAAAAAAAAAAATAATTGTGCGCACGATGCGTGTCCCCCCCACTTTTAATATCACGTAAATTCGTCCCCCGCACTTTTTCGGGCAAGTGTGTTCGCATAGGTGTGTGTGCGCACCGCGGTTAGCGTGACGCAGCGCGAAACCAGACTTCTTTTTTTCCTCAATGGAAAGCATATTTACACTGTTTGACTCGTTCCCTGTCCCCTATATAGTGCACTACGTGCCATTCACTGTACAGAAAATACTAATTCTGTGGAAAAGTGACCGATTTCAGCCGCGGCTTCAGCGTCTATTTTATAGTGTAGGGGGCTTCTAGAGAGCATTTGATTGGACAGAACGTTTGATGAGAAGCTGAAGTACGATGTGACGTCAAAAAAATCATTGAGCCGTTTTGGCGGAAGTGACGAACTGCAAGCTTTGAATGCTTATATCTTCTAAATGCGAATTTTGTCACTGTTTTGGAGCACACTGCCTTATAGATAACCTTAAGACTAACATATTGATACTAACACCCAAAAAACTTTCATTTTGATTTCATGGGGACTTTAAACTTGAAAACAAGACAAAAATACTGGAGAAGATATTCATTTTTATTTTATTTTTTGCAATGCTTTAAACATTTCATGCCTTAACTTTATGAATGCAAGAATTTTGGCTCAGATTTAAGACTTTTTAAGGCCTTAACTTGTGGAAGGGCGAATTAAGAATTTTTAAGACTTTTTAAAAAAAAATTTTTTTAAATGTAATATTTTGAATTAGATTTTTCATTTGAAAGTTTTAGAAATGTTGATGTTTTGTTGTGGATTTGTTTTACGATTTATGACCTTTTGGGATATTTTAAGGTTGTTTATCTAGACTTTCAATGGAAGGACAGAAACATCTCAGGTGTCTTTAAAAACATCTTCATTTGTGTTTTGAAGATTAAGTCTTATGGGTTTGGAATGACATGAGGATGAGTAAATGATGACAGAATTGTCAATTTTGGGTGAAATATCATTTTAAGTTTTAGTTGTTTTAGTTTTCGTTATTTTAGTATTTCAACTTAAACCAAATGAAAATTATTTTTATTTTCCAGCTAGTGTTTATTTCAAGTAATGAAAATGTTTATGGTTTTATTTTAGTTTAATAACCCTGTATTATATATAAAATATTATTTTTATAGTGCTGACCTTTCAAATAAAAAAACGTCTACTTGTCTTGTCTGTAAAAGTGGTTTACACATATTTTCAAGGTGAAGTGTGTAGCATCATCAAACAATGAGGTAATTATTTTTGCATTTTCAAACATCCTGCTCTGTGTCCGCTCAGATAAACTGTTAATCCGAACCAAACTCACGCCACTGGAGTCAATGTTGCTGGGCTGGGCTAGCTTAAATGCTCCAACAAACAGAGCAATGATTGGATAATGCTTTACGCCATTATGTTTTTGGGGTAATCAACCTACAAATGTCTTATTGCCTCTAAGATAAAGAAATTAAACACTTTATAACACTCAAAGTGAGCTCAGCCGGAATCCAGACAAAGAAGCAGCTCAGATATGAGAGATTTGGTCACTAAATTATTCCCATACTTCCATTTGTGTCATTTCTTACGGTTGATGACTACTATTTTCCTAGCATGTGAAAAAATAGTCATAATAAAGAACGAGTCTGTGTGTTTGCACTCCTGACTGGAAGTGTATATTCTCACTGTGCCCATTACAGATGATATTTGCAGTATCTTTGATGAATTAAGGCCTTTTAGCGCTGTCGGTAAGTCATACTCAGTGTCCAGACGGTGCATGTTGGTACTGGCCTGTAGCCTCACCACATCTACAGGACTTTAAACCTGCTAACCACTTCCTCCCAATAACCATTAATGAAGCTACTGTTCGAGCGAACCTCCAAACACATGTACAGCAGATTTCATGGTGAGTAATAATGGTGTGGAGGGAAAAAAAACAAAACAGGTAGAACAGGAGTGAGAGATACCTCGCTCTGCAGGAAACGGGATTCCGGCTCCAAACCACAGAGTTGAGTGGCATTCCTTTCCGGCTCCAAACCACAGAGCCGAGTGGCATTCCTCCCCTCCGGTGTGATGGCTCTACCTGCCGCTTCAGGCTGACCACAGGCTCTACAGCCAAACCAGACTCCATGGAACAGTCATCACAGCCTGCAGAATGTGCTCCACTGAACACTTTAAAGTGGTCAGCGCTACAGGCTATGAAATGTGCACAATAAGTCTTTGTGAGGTGGAACACATGCTGGTGAATCACAGCTATATTAACTCTGATTAAGCATGTGGACGGTTGCAAAAACTGCAGATTTTTTCACACTAGTTCCAGTTCTAGTTCTAAACACATTAGTTCCAGCAGGTGCAATGTACAAAGAAATTGAAGAAACTTAACCGTTTATTCTGAGTCAAATAAGCAGATAATTTAAAAGTAATAGTTGAAAATTCTGTCTTTTACTCACTTTTCTTGTTTTGGAGCTTGACTTATATAGACAGCAGTCAGGATATTCTTCAAAATTCATATTTTGAGATCAGTTTTTTTTTTTTTTCTTTTTGGAAGAAATTGATGCTTCTATTCAGCAAGGATGCATTCAACTGATCAAAAGTGACAAATAAATTCTAAATAAAAAAAATAAATGATGCTCTTTTGAACTTTCTATTCATCAAAGAATCCTAAAAAAAATAAAAACATCACTGCTTTCATTAAAATATGAAGCAGCACATTTGTTGTCAACATTTGTAATAATCAGAAATGATTCTTGAGCAGAATATCAGCATATTAGAATGATTTCTGAAGGTTCATGTGACACTGAAGACTGGAGTAATGATGCTGAAAATTCAGCTTTACATCACAGGAATAAATTACATTTTTAAATATATTCGAATAGAAAACAGTCATTTTAAATAATCAAATAAATTCAAATAAATTCAGCCTTGGTGAGCTTGAGTGAATTCTTTCAAAAACATTAAAACATATTTTGAATGGCAGGGGTGCTGTGTGTACATTAATGAGGAAAAAAAATTAACTTAAATGATTTTAGCAAATGGCTGCAATATAACAAAGAGTGAAAAATTTAAGGGGGTCTGAATACTTTCCGTACCCACTGTATATATATATTGTTAGTCATAGAATCCCCGATGTCAGCCCTACTGCAATTGGAGCGGTTAGCCAAGCCCAAGCCAGGTTCTACAGGGGTACTAGAGGGTGCTAAATACACTCAAAGGTGGCAAACTATCCAGTGCGTATTTGCGTTTGCGCTCTGGACAGCATCAAAAGTTACTATTTACAATGTGTTTTTGCAGTGTTGAGCAATGTAGCCAATCACAGACATATCTGTTGATCTCTTGAATGCAATGGCCAATCAGAAACGTTTTAGTTTGTCATACTTCACTCACCGCTGAAAGCGCCAGAGTTTTTATTAAGTGCGGTTTTGCACACTCGTGAATCCTCTCATAACTAAGTGCAGACGCGATGTAAATAAGAGATTCATTGTGCAGTTTAGATAGTTTGTTTCTCCTCAAAACTCTTTCAAAACTTTTGAGTGTTTGTAATAACTTTCTATTGCGACCTAATGTGGATTTTGTCTATAATATTATGACACAAATGTATTTTGTGTAGCTTTTTATAGAAAGCAAACACTACACCGGTTAAGCATTTCTCTTTCTTCTTTTAAAAATACCCCAAATGCATGCAACACACATAAACCATTTACTATTGTAATCGTAGCCTATATTTATTAATTTAATGATTCATCTGTGTTAGTTAAGGTGGGAATTATGATCACACAATACAGATTGAAGTTGAAGTGGTTGAAATTCATTCTCATCAGATTTGAAACAATCACAAACGTTTCCGTTGAGCTTATCGAAGCAGTGGCCAATCAGAAGCGTTCAGATGAATTTACATCGCTGAAAAGCCAGTTTATTTCAGGGCGCGCGCTCGCTGACTGAATTCTGCTCTCTCGCGAATTCTCTCATCATAAACAACAAAGTGCAGATGTACCTACGATGTAAGAGATTCATTCATCATAGTGTATTCATAGAGCTTCAGTGTTTATAATTTTCTGAGAGTTCTTAAACTCACGCTAGACTGAAGTCAGTAGTAATATTCTTTGATAATGTAGCCTAAATGCTCTTTACTCGCGTCCTTTATATAATTAATTCATTGTTTGAATAAGCGTGGAAATTTAATTGTTACAATTAACAGGCCTAACTTACAATGTTTTTATTAAATTGTGATCACGTTAAATACAAATTCGGTCATATTAAAAATATTTTATGACAACACCCATTATCTGGCACTTGCCTAAAAAGACAGGTTTATGATGTGCGTTGTTAACAGATTACACTAACATTAGATTACTTGGAGTTGGGTCAACCTCCGCCTATGGAAAAAAAAAACAGTTTTCAAAAGCACCCCGCCCCCCATATATATACAGTATATGTATATAATAAAATGACATCTTGTGACAACATGAGGGAGAGTAAATGGTGATTATTGTATTGTATATAGGGAAGCAGTAGTCATTGTCCAGCATTATGGATGTTCTAAAGGGAAAGTTTCTTCAGGATCCAGGAGCGTAGTAACTCCAGTTCTTGTCGACACAACTGATGGTTGAGGTCTGGTATGGAATGGAAAGACGTGTTGAGGCCAGCTTTCTTCAACAGTGAGTTGGTCTCCTCGCCCCAGCTATGGAAAACCAGCTCATCTGCTGTGCCATGACACTGAAGGAGCTCAGGTAGAGGCGGGCATTGGGATGCATCTTCTACTACCTGTGTAGAAGGTCAAACAGAATCTTTTACTTGTGCTCGACATCACGATATGAAAAATCTTTGGTCATAAGGCATTCTGGAGGGTATTAACTACCTGATATACAACTGAGTCTTTGTTGAGAAAGCTGGACAGAGCAAAGATGCCAGCAACATCCTGGTGGTACCTGCAAACCAGGTGTAATGCCATGGCACCACCCATCGAGAAGCCACCTAGTATCAAACATACAGACATTAGACAAGCATTCAGTGGCTTCGTATTAAAACCTGTTGAGCTGACTTCTCCTATGGTATTGTCCACTATATTTACGTAACTTTTTTTCCATTGTGCTAGTCATGAAGTGCAATGCTCTCAAATTGCTAAAAATGTGTGATCTTAGCAGCCAGCATATATGACTATTCTTCTTAACACAGTTTTGTAAAAAACTTTTTTGTAAAAAAGTGCACTTGGTAATAATGTCAAATTACAGTAATACTTTTAAAGTACATTTTAAATCATTGTAATCTTTTTTTCATTTACCTTGATGTGTTGACTAACTTAAAAAAGCACATGTAAACTTTAACGTGTCATTCAATATTACATTTAAAGTTAATACATTTTAATTGTACTAAAATGCAATTTCATCATTACAAATATATTTACAGTGGGTATAGAAAAGAATCAACCCCCTTTAAAATGATCAGATTGTGTTGCTTTGCAGCCAGAAATGAAGGAGGACACAGTTTTTGTTTTATCCAGCTGTATTTACTCAGTGTAACTTATAACATCCAAGTGAAAGATAGAACACAAACATGTCAGAGAAAAAAAAAAAAGAAAAAAAAATCACTGAGCTGGAAAAAGGATCAGCCCCTTGTGTCAGTATTTTGTTGAACCACCTTCTTCTTTAATTACAGCCTTTAGTCTGTTGTGATTTGTCTCTACTAACTTTGCACGTCTAGACTTTGTCCGTCTTCATTTCAGGCTGCAAAGCAACAACATGTGATTATTTGTTTTTAGACAAACCATGTGCCAATCTATTAATCAACACCATTGCTGAGTATTTTCTGCTTAAAACTGTAGTTTCCCAAAGGCTGACCCAGAAATACGGTTTGAAACAGCCCTCGGTTTGCTACGTCACAAACCAATAACCAATCACGTCAAGGGATAGATTCCTATCACTAGCATGCAAAATATACCAATACCAGTTTAAAGTCCCCCTGTAGTGAAAATCAAGTTTTTTATGTTGTTTATTTGTCTATATGGTGTTTTTAATATGCCTTTAGACAAACCATGTGCCAATCTATTAATCAACACCATTGCTGAGTTATTTTCTCCTTAAAACTGTAGTTTCCCAAAGGCTGACCCAGAAATACGGTTTGAAACAGCCCTCGGTTTGCTACGTCACAAACCAATAACCAATCACGTCAAGGGATAGATTCCTATCACTAGCATGCAAAATATACCAATACCAGCACAAAACCAAAAATAAATTAAAGCAAAAAATGTGAATTTAATGTAAATTTAGAACCGCTAACTTGCATTATAACCCGTGGCAACAGTGTAAAAGTAGCCCAGAGTCAGACCCACCTCTCCCGCAGCTGCGTCTGCACTTCACACGCGTATGCTCGCGGGCGCGAATTAACAATCACAAACGGCTGTATTCGAGTCTTCAAGGCATTTTAGGACACAACATCGTCAAGTAACTTTAACGTATGTTACAGTATTCACTGTAGTTGTCCGCTAGTAAAAAGATAGTTATTTTAAGGAACGAGAAAATTATTTTCACAAGAAAAAACATTTAAATATGTAATTTTGATGATCAAAGATACGTTTTAAGGGATAAAATATTTGACTACAGGGGGACTTTAACATAAATTGAAACCAAAATAAAAGCACCTGCTCAAACATTACAAAACTTTCAATTCGCCCTTAAGTATATTCTTTCATAGCATGTGGTTTCTGAAATAAGTACTCTTTTTGTTAAAGTATACTAAAGTACATTTCTTTTTCACAAGGGACAATTTACCTTGTGTCAAACAACAGAGCCAGTGTCTGAAAATGAAAGACTACAGAAATCTGAAACCCCAACATTTCATGATTAAGATTGAACTGAACTTCTTAGATGGGAAAGGCACCACTGTAATTGTAAATGCATAATTTTTTGTGCTTTCAACTTGACATGGGATGCGACAGTCGCATGTTTAGTTTGTTTTTTTAATAAAAGGCATGCAGCAAGTGGCACATCGCAGGTGGTTTTGCTTGTAAACCCTTTCCATGATCTTTTCTCATTCAGCAGTGGCATATGCATCAGTCTTGATGAGTCATTGATTCAACCACTATTTTTTTTATTATATATTTTAAATTATATGTTATTTTTTTCACTTCTATACGTGTCTGTGATTTGAGTCGCATTATGCAGGCATGTATACACTCTGGCCATTGACAATAGTCACATTATTGGTTTATATGCAAACACAGTCTGACAGAATTGTTATGTCTGACTTAAGGTTATGAAAACCTTTTCACTCTGGAGTGATTGAGTCAGGAGGACATCAATAAGTGTATGTAATTTAAAGCAGTCTACAGGAGTCAGTCTTCCCCAAACTGAAATTTAAAACAAAAAAGAGAAAAGAAAGCTGGCCTTCAGTTCCACATCATCAAACCTCCATTTTTTCTGAAGTCCTCTTTCATGCCTGTGCTTAATCTTACACATCTGGGCAAATCTGGGCACTACATCTGGGAAAACGTACCCATCAGTCTGTCAGAGCCATGTTGAGACGGAGGATGGATGGAGTTCACATGTTCTTCAAACCTCTCCTTGAGATGTTGTGAGCAATTATATCTCCAGGACTAATGAACTAAGTCTACTAATTTTCCCTTTATGCACTTCTCATCTAATCAAAGAGACAAAACCAAAAAATTCCATCCTAATATTGAACTTATTGAGAAATTCTGTGCATGCATGTTTGACTTTGGCTTTTCCCATTAACTACGACACCTAAAAGATTGAAAAACACAATATTTATATATATATATATATATATGAAAGCGTTTTCCAAGGAAAGTTCTGGCGCTTGTCAGTCTAGGAAGTGGACTCAGCGTACAGACCACTTCGTTTCTTCGAGTGACTCCAATGAGTATTTATAGTTAATGACAAAATGTTATGATTTAGGAAGATAATATTTCAGCAGTCTCACAGGAACATGTGTTTTTTGAATCAGTTTCTTTGGAACCGAGTTCAGGGGCTTTTCTGTCCTTCCACACAGAGCCTTTTCACACAAAGACTTTTTTTTTTTGCACTTTTCACATTTTACTTGCAACTATTTCAGGGTATTTATGCGTTATTGGCTTTTTGGTTAACCCTTCCTTGAATGTTGCCATTTGGTTTAACTCGCTGAGCAAATCATAACCTCTTTTTAATGTCTTTCCAGTCGTCTTCTCACACCCTGAGGGAATTTACCTGCGTTCTTCTAAGATCTCTTTTTACTGAATGATTTTCTGCCACTTTTATCTCATTGTGATATATATGTGAACCCAATAACCCAAATATTCTGAGATAAAGCTTAGCAGAAATCTGAGAATCATCCAGAAATTCTTCTTGGCCCATTCTGGCAACAAATGAAAGGAATGAGAAACTTGATAAGTTTCATTCTTCATTTTACACAATGAGGGAGAGACTTATGAGCAGTGGTCTGAGACTCTGCTTAATTTGGAACAAGTGGAGTGTGAGAGTGTGTAAGACAGAGGAAAGCAATAAGGTAGGAAGAGATAGATGGATGGGGAGGAGAGAGAGAGAGAGAGGATAGGAGAGAGACGAGCCAGTAGCCATACCAATAAGCATCCTGTGTTTAGGGATCCCTGCTCGGATCTCCTCCTGGACAATGGCGCTTAAATTTTCGCACATGGAATCTATAGACTCCAAATGTTCCGGGCAATCCTGGGAAATCTTGTGACGATCGAACCACACATGAGACTGAGCCCCTCGCATGGGTGTGTACGGCCTAAAAACAAACAACTGTAGTGGTGAAGTAATAATAATAATAATGTAATTCAATCAAAACAAAGCTGAAGAAACTGCTAAATAAATGACTGCATTCACACAGCTGTGAGAAATTATTGTTAAATGTTTGGAATTATAGGGATTTCTGCTTGAAAAATTGCACCTAAAATGTGATCTTATTTTCATTTATGTTATAATTGCAATTAAGGTTTTAATAAATAAAATACAGTGCAATCCCACCCAAATCCAAATTGTACATTTTTTTTTTATTTTTTTTTATCTGAATAGCATTTCTCTTTCAGGTTCTTTCTATCAACAGCTTGTGAGACTTTATTATTATTATCATTACTATTGTTTTCTAGGCCCTATACTCCCTAGTCCATTAAAGTCCCTATCATGTTTGTTTTAATAATACGGGTAAGTGGGTAAAGTTTGTGAGTTAAAAGATGTGTTGTGAACACAATGAATTCAGTAAATACCATTTAGAAACTGGTTCAACATGTTCTTTGTTAATGGGCTTATAAGTCCACTTGACATAAAAAGTTATATTTATGAATTATAATTACAGACAGCATTATGTCTTCTTTGTTTCTATTTGAGATTTCATTGTTTAATAAGTTTTCATTTATTTGTGTTGATCTACCACATCCATCTTTGTCATGCATCCACTACAGGTACTCATCAAATCCATTTTTCCAAATATAATATTGCTTATAAAGCAAGAGAATACAGGTGCATCTCAATAAATTAGAATGTCATGGAAAACTTCATTTATTTCAGTAATTCAACTCAAATTGTGAAACTCGTGTATTAAATAAATTCAATGCACACAGACTGAAGTAGTTTAAGTCTTTGGTTCTTTTAATTGTGATGATTATGTTTTTTTTTATTGGTCTTATGGAGTATTCTAATTTGTTGAGATAGTGAGTTGGTGGGTTTTTGTTAAATGTGAGCCAAAATCATCACAATTAAAAGAACCAAAGACTTAAACTACTTCAGTCTATGTGCATTGAATTTATTTAATACACAAGTTTCACAATTTGAGTTGAATTACTGAAATAAATGAACTTTTCCACGACATTCTAATTTATTGAGATGCACCTGTATATTGTATCAGGTTACTTTTTATCTATTATTCTCTTTTTTGTAAAATTCTCATGAATACTCATTCAATTTCATTACTATTTCAATTTCAATTACAGTCAAAACTAGAGTTTTATAAATCAATAAATCTCACAAAACTAGAGTTTTGACTCTTAAGACTATAGCGGACTCCACAAAAATAGAAAAATGTCAGACACAAACATGTGCATTTACTACAAAACCAATAATTTCTCTCACTGTTTTAATAAATTATTGTATTTAACCAATAACTGTAAAGGTGCTGTGAAGGCGATGTATAGGGAATGTTTACCTGGCTGGCGCTGTGGGATAAATCACCCGGATGTTTTCAAATGCCAGGTTTTGTCCCAACACATCATAAACCCACCTGCGCAAACCCGGCCCCGTGTCGCCTAAATGAAATGAATGAAAGTTATTACACCACCATACGTCTTACATTGGACTAAATTATTAAAATGTGTCTAAATTAAACATAGGTCTAAACATATGCAAACAGTACAAACTATTATTATTTTTTTTTTTTACAGAGAAACAAACCTACATGGAAATAATAGTTGCATGTTGAATAAGTATATCGTTACTAAGGTGCTCTGGTTTGTTAGGTTGTTATAATGTGGTTTATAGAGTGTTCTGGGTTGTACTGGACCAAGTCTAAAGAACCCAAACCCGACTCTCTAGCTGTGTCCCAAATTACATACTACACACACTATATGCACTTACTGCATACTACGTACTCAACTGTCCAGTACGGAAACCTGATTGTGCCAGTGAATAAGAAATAGAAAAGGTAATTGTGACTTTTTATCGCAATTCTGACTTTTTTTCTCAGAATTGAGTGATAGAAATTCGCAATTGCGAGTTACAAAGTCAGAATTGCGAGATATAAATCACAATTCTGTGAATCTTGTGATTCTGACTTTATAACATGCAATTTCAAAAAGTCTGAATTCCGAGATATTAACAAGCAATTGCGAATTATAAAGTCACAATTGTGAGATATAAACTTGCAATAGTAGGAAAATAGTCTTTTTTTCTCAGAATTGGACATTATTAGGGCTGCCCCCTGATAGTCGACTAACTATTAGTCGACGAGAAGAGGCTTAGTCTATCAAAATTTTATTAGTCGCAGAAAAAAAATTCCACGGGAAGTGGCGAAGTCATGAAGTCCGTGACGGACAGATCATTAACAGCTGGTTTATGTGGTAATTACAGTACATCGGACATCCAAACGTTCATTTTGTTCATCGACCTCAAATGTGGCTTATCATCTGAAACATGTAAGTAGCAGCAACACAACATTACATGGCCGCTCGTTTTAACGTTAACCTAGAAAAATGTGCGCTATTGAAGTGTTTGTGTGGAGTGTGGAAGCTGAATATATCGCCAGTGCGATCATTTGCATTTAACTTAAAATACTCTGTCATTTTTGCTCATCCAGAGTAATACATCTTTCAAATCTGTAAAAGGTCTACTTTTATTTGCGTGCACTCACAACAACAACAGAACATTGTGCTTTTGTAAAATAACGAAAGCAAACATTATTAGGTCTCTGTGAACTTGAGCGGTTCAACAAAAAATTACAAATTAAAAAATGGCACCGAAACTCCGTGTTTGCCTCACTGACATGAAAAATATATCTATAGAAAGAGAATTGTCTACTTTTAAATGAACCAATTCAAATGGAAAACAAGTATTTTCAGATTATGTAGCCTAATCCATATGAAACGTACACATCCACTGTGGAGATCGCTGCAACCGAAAATACAGAAAACACTAGTTTATCATTATTAATGTTAAGGCAGTCTTCTTGCCCCGTTTTTATTTTTTTATCCCTGACGCATTCATAATCATTACTTCTGCCGGTGCGCTGTGGAAAGTTTTATGCGTGCACTTGAGTGCTGATAGGCTATAGGCAATAAAGGCTCATTATTAAGAATTATATTGTTTATTAATATAAACGTGCGATTAGTCGACTAATTACGAAAATGAACGACTACTAGTCAACTAGAAAAATCTTTAGTCGAAGGCAGCCCTAGACTTTTAACTTAAAATTCTGACTTTTTTTCTAAAAATTATGAGATTTATGCTGATTCCGCCATGTTTCTCATTGACACGCTCCCAACTCGGAAACTCGGGGCTTAAAGAAAATTTAGAGTTTCCCACTCGTAATAACGACTTTGTGGTGGCGTTCATGTGCGTTCAACTCGTAAATACGATCTATCCGACATGACTTGAACGCACGACTCGCAATTGCGAGGAATAGAGTCGGAATAGCAAGACTGCAATTGCGAGTTTATATCTCACAATTCTCAAAGTCAGAATTGTGAGATGTAATCTTGCAATTGCAAGAAAAAAGTCAGGGTTGTGAGATAAAAAGTAGCAATAACGCTTTTTAAAAAAAATTTTTATTCAGTGGTGGAAACAGTCTAGTGTATTAATTTTATACGGGTATTTGTTATTTATAATCGGAGTCTGATAGCCCGTCCTCCTCCAGTACGTAATTAAAGCTGTGACAGTTGAGTGCATGAAGAGTCCAACTTTCCATGCTTCATTTTTTAAGCATATCTTAAATATAGTATTGAGTATTGAGACGCACCTCATATCGAGATATGACATTCCTTTCTTCAGTATAAATCTTTGAGATTCTTATGCTAATTTTATTGATCTGAAAAACCATACCTATTATGTCCATAGCAGGACAAATTACACACCAATTGTAATACTATGGGCTTGTTCAAATCCCTATGTCCCCAAGTATGAACCACCATAACAGTGATGTCTGCCTTAGAAAACCGCACTAAAATGCTAAATAAATACAAAGGATGTGCAGTGTGCAGGATTATGAAGATTGCGACAGAGAAACGATTTCACTTTGTGGTCATGAAATTGTAACCTACCAGCTCTATGCGCATTCGCGTTCTTACGCTCACTATTTCTTGTAATTATTTTTCTTTGAACACGTCAGCAGAAGTCTCACACCATAAACGATGCACTTTTAACACATGTTCAACCTCACAGCTCAAGACGCGTCTCTGCACCCTTGCGTTTCATTCAGTTGCGGCGCGTCCTGCGTGAGCCGCGCTGGTCTGCGGTGGTTAGTAGGACATAATTTCTCTTTTAAAAATTGTTTTCACACCGCGTCTGCATGAGAGAGGTTTTAATCTTTTTAAAAGCACCTGAGCCATGAAGAAAGATGACAGAAGCAGTGTGTTTTCCAGCCTGACTCACGACACTCGTCTGTAGTTTAACTGCGGCCATATTCATCCCGTGTTATCTCGCGATACTCACCGCGTCAGTCACGTCACAGATCGCGTTCACCTTTCAGCGCTGTGAAACTTCTCATTAATGATGAATGAATGAGGTCTGCTTTATGTAAGTATAACAACAAACGTGGGCAAACAAATGCCTCTGGTCTCATGTCTTCTGATGGTGAGCTAATATTAGGGTGAGTGTTGCAGTACAGCTGATTTGTTGTCAAGTAACAGAGAAAAGATTCAGTACAGCAGTTCATTTGCCCATTAGTCCAGTTTTGGCACATGTAGCCTTGCTTCACGTTCGTATAAGTCAGTAATACAAGCACACAAGCACAAGTAAAGCAAAAGAGCACATAAAAACAAAAGAACATCAGTTAAGTAGAAAACAGTGCTTGAAGTTTATAATTGCTAATATGCCAAAAAAATCTCTAATTTAATAAAACCCTTAGTTTTAACTGCAAGGTTATTATCACTAAGAATTTGCAGCTGGCTGTAGAAATTGAACAAGGAAATCCAAAAGTAATCGAATCTGAACTAAAATTACTCGTTTTTGGTCATAGTCAGCACTGCATGATTATTCGATGTATCGACTTTGTTATGACGTACTGATACTTTTGACATCTAGACTTTTACAGTAGTTTAAAGTGAGGTGAAACCAGGACATTTAAACACGCTAGTTCTTTAGTTGGCTGCTTATAACATGATGCATGATTTCAACTGCAAAGTGAGAACAATACTCTGACCCGTTCCCATTTCTGTTACAAGAACATCAGAATTTAGCATATATTGAGATAATGCAGAATATAGTTTCATGGCTGTTTAAACATATTTATAGCCAGTCACTTTTCTTAATTCACACCCATTACAAATTTTCATTCAGGACCTACATCAGACCATTTAGCTGAAGAAGAACGCATTACGTACTTGCATAAAAGTCTCATAAAAAGTTGATGTTACATTGAACATCATTGTTTGCTCGCAGAGATTTAGGAGATGTCTACAAGTTACTTTAAACACATACTGGGGTCTTATCTTTCATAAACTAAGTGCCGTTTCGCTTGATTCTGGTAAATTTCAGTTGCTTTGAACGCTCAGACCACACATTCTGCGTCCTAAATCTCACCTCCGTCCACCTTTTCTCTCACTGTGTGGGAGGGATGGACTACATTTGTGTTTAACTGTGACTCTGTCTCCAATACTGACAAATGACTGGAGGAGACCCCCATGTGCTAAATCAGTCCTGTACCACACTGTCTGTTTATGCCTGCCCTCTATAGGCAGCTTGATAGTGGATCTGTGTTTTGTCACAAAGTCTGAACTGAATATACTGTATGATAAATTGTCCATATGGTATTGACTGAGATAATGTAGCTAATTAATCTCAATTGCTGCTGAAGAAAAACATTCAAGGTCTATGATTATTTATAGATAATTTGATTAATGCAGTAAGGTTTTGATCAAATGCAGTAATCATTGTATGAATGGAGTAATTGCTCAGGCTTACCGTATTGTTTTTTAAAGTACAGTGACCTCAGTGATGTCAAAATGTGCCTTTAGGTTTTATAAAAAGGTTACACCTCTATTTATATTTTATTAAAGCTGATTTTTATTTGTATGACGGGTTTATTTATACCATGTTAAAGGGATAGTTCACCCAAAAAATGGAAATGCTGTCTCACTCTCATGTTGTTCCAAATCTCTATGAATTCTTTCTTTTAGTGAACACATATCAATGAGACATTTTGAAGAATGGTGGGATGTAAACCATACTTAACAAAAATAAATAAATAAATAAATAAAGTGTACAAAGTATCATCTTTTGTGTTCCACAGAATAAAGGAACGTATGCAGGTTTGGAACAACATTAATGTTAGAATATAACCAAATATGAATATAAATAACAACCTGAAAAACACTACACAATTGCATATACAAAACAAATACTTTCATAGGTTTTCTCTCATAAAATGGACTCTTAGATTCAGTCCCATGCATGAAGTTGCTGTTGTTGGTGTTTCTTTCTTTGCTGTGTTTTAAAGAGAGGCTGTGGCTGTGGAATTTGTCCTTGCTCTGTGGGCTGTTGTGGTTTGTGTCATTGCTCCAGCTGGGACAGTTTGTTTGGAAGCTTTAATTGCAATGGTTGAACTGTATTGAACTGATCTCAAAATGGTGGCCCCTTTAGTGTGTCATCTTTTCTTTTAGCTGCCAATTCTAAACTCTTTATTTACAGTATCCAGCAGGACTCCACCATCAGCTTGGCTTGGCCTACCTGGGAGATGTTGCGATTCCTTCAGAGTCCTCAAAAAGCATCTTCTGGGTTTTCAAAAGGTGCTAGTTGGGCTTGACTAATCATCAACACCCCCAAAAGTTTCCTGGCCTGCCAAAGTATGACAAATGGGTTTGATTGGTAAAGCTCCAGGAGAAGTTTGAAGCAGTGAAGAAACTTCCTCAGTCACGGATCAAAACCCAGGCATGTGCTTTCCAAAGGTTGGCAGACTACTATATTTGTTTTGTCCCATTTTTCACAAACCTGACATAAAAGACAGCTGGAAACTGTGACATGGACCCATGCAGGAGGCTGAAGAAGTGTTCATTATGTCAAAAGGGGCATTTACCTCAGAACAAGGTGTGCTGGTGTAACGGAGGCCAGCGGTAGGTGCTGTGCAGGTAAACCTCACTCCCCTGATCTCAAGAGACGCACTAGCGACTGACGCTAGTGGCTGCAGTCTTTAGCCTCCTTGTTAGTGCGTCCGCCTCCCATGCTGGAGACCCGGGTTTGAGACCCACTCGGAGCGAGTAAGAGGTGTGGCGGAGAGGACCCAGGGGAGAGGGGATACATTGGTGCCGTGACCCGGATGGGAGTGAGGCTTAGGGGGGTGAGTGTAACGGAGGCCAGCGGTAGGTGCTGTGCAGGTAACCCTCACTCCCCTGATCTCAAGAGACGCACTAGCGACTGACGCTACTGGCTGCAGTCTTTAGCCTCCTTGTTAGTGCGTCCGCCTCCCATGCTGGAGACCCGGGTTTGAGACCCACTCGGAGCGAGTACGAGGTGTGGCGGAGAGGACCCAGGGGAGAGGGGTTACATTGGTGCCGTGACCCGGATGGGAGTGAGGTTTAGGGGGGTGAGTGTAACGGAGGCCAGCGGTAGGTGCTGTGCAGGTAAACCTCACTCCCCTGATCTCAAGAGACGCACTAGCGACTGACGCTAGTGGCTGCAGTCTTTAGCCTCCTTGTTAGTGCGTCCGCCTCCCATGCCGGAGACCCGGGTTTGAGACCCACTCGGAGCGAGAACGAAGTGTGGCGGAGAGGACCCGGGGGAGTTATTTTTTGAAATATGCTAAATAATGATCCCGGACAAGCATTTTAATGCACTGTTTTATTAATTAAACATATTCTATTATATACTGTATATATTTTATATATTCATACATTCTATAAAAGACTTTTATGACACCTTGGACATATAACAAAACATGTCATGTCAACGAGCTTAATACCGTTCTCTGCTTTTATCATACTAGACAGTTTTAGAGGGGAGGAACTGCTCTCTGACGGCTGTGATTTTTCATCACATTGTTTTTCTTTGAGTTTTCTTTTCATGTTGTTTTTTTTTTTAAAGCATGATCTCACAGGTTCATCCCCCGTGAGGCTCTCATGGCACACCACTTAGTGCTCATCAGTCAGTGTTGATGAAAGACTTGCCACATTCATACTAAGCATAGCAATGACTAAAACAACTGACCATTCTGAGTCAGCCCATTCTGAGGTGATTTAAGTTTTCAGTACGAATAGAGGATGATGGCCTCCAGATGAGCTCTCAAAGCTCTTCTTTCACAGAGACGAAGCTCGCAGGTCATCCTCTGGTCATTCACACATTAGAAGTCTCTCTTCAAACGAAGAACACATAATCGCAATGTATTATGATTTTCAGGGAGGAATTCACTAGTGCTTGTGGATGGCGTGTTTTATTTGCATATTGTTTCAGCAAATGATTCACTGAAAGTGTTATGGAAATCAGGTAATGGAGCAAACGTGACCCAAAAAAAAATTATTCCCCTGAATTTGATGAATAACTGCCATTATGATTACTAGAAAATGTATGTTTGTTTTAAATAAAGTAGTGCAGTGTTAATTGTGAAATCATGTAAATCAGTTTTGAATTTTCCTGTCCCTCGTGAAAAAGAAGCGTGTTTAATTGTATTGAATGTGCACTTGTAGTGTACTTCAAATATACTTAAAATGATAGATAATTTTAATGAAATAAAAGACCACTTAACTGTACTCTTAAGTGTAAGCATTGTTTTAATAATCCTAATCTTTTACACTTATTTTGATGTTGATTAATATATTAACGCACATGTACAGTACTTGATTAATATTTTAACCATTGTGTTATTCAATATTGCATTAGGTTGGTGTATTTTAAATACGTTAATGTATTTTAAATGCACTAAAATACAACTTAATGTAAATTGCAAATGTCTAATTTAAAAATATTTCAATACACAACATACAAGTTTTAATAGAATTGGGATTAAAGTATATTTTAGTTTAGCATAAATGCTTGTCAGTACATTCAGCAGTAACACTTTAATCATATTTCAAAGACAATAGAATTATGAAATTACATAGAAAGATGTCCAAATGGGTCAAAAATTGCTATAAACTATAAAACATTTACATGTAATGTAACATGCAATTAAGTGTCCGAAAACATTACACTCAGTATATTCTTTTAAAATAATATAAGTGCTCTTTATAAAAGTATGCTCAAGTTGTACTTCTTTTTCACAAGGGGTGGCAGCTTTACTTAAGTGTAATTATATTATAACACCTGTCTTTCATTTTGATATTTGTGATCCAGATCAAGCTTTTGCATGAAACCGTGTGCTACACTCCTTGACCGGCGTTCTGGCGTGGCTAAAAAGTATGGCGCACTTTCATCTCTCATGTGGTCTGCAAAAGCTTGGAGTAGAGCTGGTGATATCAGGACGGCTTTAACACTCCTCTCCCCCACCGCTGTCAGCTCGAACCT